GGCTCAGCCCCTGCCCCGGAGCTGCGCCGCGGGCCGCGGAGACCTTCGCAGATGGGCTCGGAGAGCTGTGACTGCCCAGGGACCCGCGGGTGGTTCGTGCACGGACTCTGCTCTGTGTGCGTCGCTGTTTCGCGTAGTTTCCTAGATCCTGCTGCTACTTCGCAGCCCCTGGTGACTGCTGTGCAGGCTGCTGACCGACTGAGGAAAGCCACCCTCCTGCCTGAACCTGCCGCCGGGCCTGGAGCGAGGACGGGCAGGCGGTCTGCGGTCATAGTGAGCAGCTAGCTGACTCCTCAAATTCAGCTTCTGGCCTGTAGGAACAGGCTCTTGTAGCCGTGCCTAGCTAGCGGTGTGTGGAAACATTACCTTGGTGCATTGTTGTTTCTGATGTTTGTGAACTTAATTCTGACACTCCAGAGAGGAGTGTGGTTCTGGTGCATACAGAAAACTCTGACACAAAAGATATATTAAAATAATACAGGGATGTTGCTGACTCCGGTATGTTACTGCCCTGGCTGCCTGAGTGTCACAGGGATACAGAGAAAAAAGTGATTTGTAGTCAACAGAAATTGCTAGTCAACAGTAGGGACTAGTGTCTGTGCAGAATTCATAGCAAAACATAAATGTCATCTCTTGTATAGATTCAAGTGGAAAGAGTCTCTGTCTTTTTCTGCTTTAGCTCATGAGTGTTAGTATATTCAAGTGTTACATTAAAAGCAGGGTTTGTAAAATTTTTTTGCCATATGTCAGCCATCAGGTGAGCTGTAATTCTTACTAGGACTTCTTCTATACATATATTCTCCCTAATAAGGCACGTGTTGGTCCCTCTGTGTCTTCATTTTTAATCTTTTAATAACAGAACAGTTTTTCTTCTCCAACACATACACTGTTTTCTTAGCTGACCACTACTTTGTTACTCAGTTGCTGGAAAGAAACTTGGTCCAGGTGCTGATCTGCAAGACCTTGGCTTCTTAGCCCATGCACCTGATCAGCTAACTTCTACAGGCTGTGCCATTACGTGTGTTGCTGAGAGCTGATAATTTCTACAGGCCTTTTAGCTTGGCTATCTGTCTGTGGTGCTGCATGAGTTGGAATTGCATTCCCTAGATTTGGTAAAGCCATTTCCACCATGTGCAGTTTCAGTGGTTTTCACTAACATAACTAGAATTGGACTGTGGCTTAGCATTCTGGAGGAGGCAGGGGGAGACTGGTTTTGTTCAGAGGAGTCGTTTGTTTGGGTTGCTCTACTGAATGGTTGTATTGCATAGTTACAGTAAATGCATAGGAAAATTTAGAAAAGAGTGAGCAAGAAAGGATTTCCTGCTGCCTTACATTGATTTTGTTTTTAAATGACAGATGCTTTCTTTACCTGTCGAAAGAATGTGCTTCTGGCGAAGAGCCCGTCCACCCAGATAGAAGGTGTCTTTGCTGCAACAAGAGGAAGATCTGCCCCAGAAGAACAAGAAGCCCTTCTCCAGCAGTGGCTGGAGGAAGGAGCAGGAAATTTGCCAGCCAGTGAGAGTGTTCCATCAGTGGGGAAAATACCAGTTACATTCACTAGTGACTGGTTCGAAGGTTCAGACCTATTGATGACTAGCCTCAGTGACCTGAATGCATCTCCGGAAGTCACCCGGTGCGCTGACCAAGAGCTCTCAGACCTAAACGCTTTGGATTCTTCAGAACTGCAAGATCATGCAGTGGCTGAACTGTCAAAATTACCAGCAGAGGAAACAGTGGCTGTAGCAGGCAGTGGCCCTTGGGCAGCTGTGGTGCCACAGACACATCACCAGGTTGCTGGCTGTGCCGGTATCAATGTAGAAGTGTTGAATGATGACCCAGCTGTGCTGGCCTGGAGTTTAGCACGTGATGCAGAGACAGTGCCACCAGAGCTCCCGGCCCAGCCCGTTCAGGGTGCAGTACCATTTTATCCTGTCCCAGCAGAGGTGCCCTACCATGGTCAGTAATGGCTCTGAACCTAATGTTCAGTTTAGGATTTGCATTTGTAGTGAACGTGATCAGGTTATTGTCTGGGCTTGCTGTTGGTAAGATACTGATTGTCCCTGCAGAATTGACATGATCTGCTAGTGAAAATTATGAAGTGAGTTTTTGCTGAAGGAGGGCTGGTCATAGCTAGTGGTCACTCTGCTGTTAGACTGTCTGGTCTGAATGTCAGTATATCAATATATGTTCACCAGGAACTGTTCCCAAGTGATGGTTTTATAACCTCAAAAGCACTAAAAAGCTGGTTGAGTTCAGTGTGCCTGACTGGTCATGTGTTATGCCATCCCCATCAACAACTATCCAAAGGCATCCAGAAAGAGCACCTGAAAACCACAGTGGGTGAGGGTTTGCTCAGAAACTAGAACACTCTAGCTTAGAGAGTAAGAATCGCTATTTTCTGGGTCCCAGGGGAACTAAATTATCAGCAAGGTATCCAGCATGGCCGTAACTTTGCTTTTTTGCATTATAGAGATTCTATGGAGAGACTGGGAGGATCTTTCTGTCCAGCCCTGTGTGCTAGAGCAGGTCTCGAAAAACACTCCTCTCTTTGAATTTCGAGTCATGTCTTACAACATCCTTGCCCAGGACCTGGTGGAGCAGGGCCTTGATCTCTATGTACACTGTCATCCAGACATTCTGAACTGGAACTACCGCCTTCCAAACCTTTTGCAGGAGATACAGCACTGGGATCCTGATGTGAGTATTACTGAGCCCTTCCTACATCAGTGTCACCAGAACTGGAATTCCTTGTTTGATCTAACTATTAAAAAAAGAGATGGAGGGAAGTCCTAGGAAGATACTACCTGCTTGGGAACTGAACACTGATTCCTCTGAGAGTGTTTGAGGGCTTGTGCATTTTTTTTTTGGGGTGTTTATCTTGCTTTGATTGAATTACTGTAGAAATTAGTCATACTTTAGCAGGGCTTAACTTCTATAAGCAGCAGAAGTAGAGAAAGAAGGACCAGGTTTCTAAGGCAGCACAGGAGGGGAAGCCTGTGTAGAAGAGGACTTCATGAATTTCTCTATTCTTTGAGTCCTCTTTGTGGGATGAAGGATCTTTTGCCTCACCACTGGAAAACTGAATGATAAGCTAATGTGACCTAGAAAGTTACTGCTCTCCCTCTGGAAAGTACAGAACAGAGTTTCAGTGGTGATGTTTCTGGTTGCAGTGCACTTTTCTGCTTTATTCCCCAAAACAAGGTAACTAGCAAATATTAGTGGAGCAAGTGAGGTCTCTGCCTTCCTTCCAGGTTCTGTGTCTCCAGGAGGTACAAGAGAACCATTACTGGGAGCAGCTGGAGCCAACATTCAAGGAGATGGGTATGTCCTGCTTCTGTGTGTCTGTGCATCCAGCCTGTGGGACTGGCCAAGCAGTGCTTTCTGCCTAATGTCTTCAAAGCACTCAGTCTCAAGAGACTTCTTCCTATTTTGTTGGGTGACTGCTGGCCCTACTTCTGAACTATCTGCTTAGACCTTTATCCTTCTTTTGTAATTGATCTCTCTCAGAGTTGATGGTGCAGAGTAACAAAACTGAGAGGGTCCTAGAAGGACAAGGAGAGCAAAAATACCCCCAGTAATTAATGGTGATTATTGGAACAGAATTGGGTATAATGCAGTACCCAAATGTAGTAGGAACCTTTTCTATACAGACTTTCTGAACTCCCAGCTGATGGGGGAGCCTGAGGTAGTGACTGGATAAACCTTTTAATAGGTGATGATTTCCTTTCAGGCTTTGCATGCTTCTATAAACGGAGAACTGGGACGAAGACAGATGGCTGTGCAGTGTGCTATAAGCAGAGCAGGTTCCAACTGATCAGCCTCAGCCCCATAGAATACTTCCGGCCTGGCCTGGACGTCCTCAATCGGGATAATGTGGGCTTGGTGCTGCTGCTACAGCCTGTGCTCCCAGAGGGCCTGGATCCGAAGGCAGTCAGTCCTTTGTGTGTGGCCAACACTCATGTGTTGTTCAATCCCCGTCGAGGAGATATCAAACTGGCCCAGGTGGCCTTGCTCCTAGCAGAGATTGACAAAATGGCAAGAACTACTGAAGGCAGCTACTGTCCTGTCATCTTGTGTGGAGATCTGAACTCTGTACCTGACTCTCCACTCTACAAATTCATCCGGAATGGTGAACTTTCCTACCATGGGATGCCAGCCTGGAAGGTAGTTGCCAGCCAGAACTGGGATTGGATAGGTCTTTATTGCATGCTGCTGGAGAAGTGTGTGGCTGCATTCTACCTCTTGTGAGGAAGTAGTCCAGATATTGAGTTCAGTTATTCAGCTGTCTTCCCAATGTCTCTAGCACTGTGGGAGAAATAAGTGGACAAGTGTGTGCCTGTTGTTTCCACCACTGCTTTTTTAGTTTCTCTTGAGGCAGACCTGTGATAATAGACTACTTAAATTTGGGTCTTCATTTTCCTTTGCTGTGGAATTTTTGTGACTGGAAGAGCAAGGGAGTGCAACCTCACCAAGACTGACTGAAATTTTATGTGGATGTTTGTTCTGAAACCAGTTTGAAATGGGCACCTATGCTAGAGTCTCTTGTGGTTACCTGTTACTGAGTGTCTGCAGTCAAATACCTCATTGGCTTTCAGGCTAAATGGTCACTTCAGTAAGATGCCTGCAAAGTATCTTACCAGGTGACTTCTAGCTAATTGGATCTGTCCCCTGCAGCTGAAGGTTGACTGTACCTGCACCATATTCTGAATAGCTCAGTTCATGCCTTTCTATGAGGTCATTCTTCTGTCTCGCTCTTTGCAAGTGTATGTACGTACATTGTCTGTGGCTTGCAAAAATTCTGCTCTGTGTTGCTGATGGTTCCTCTCCTTTTCTGGCCTCCTTGCAGGTGTCTGGCCAGGAAGACTTTTCCCAACAATTGTATTCACGGAAACTGCTGGCCCCACTGTGGCCGAGCTCACTGGGGGTAACAGACAAGTGCCAATACGTCAACCTCTGCCAGCCAAAGAAACTAGGTGAGCTCCAGTATGCACTGAGAACATGAGTTTGCTGAGGATGGACAGTTTGTGGGCCTTGCTGCCTCTCTGAGTAGCTTGGGCATGTGTTGCATGAAACTGTTGGCAAAGATTATCTTTTTCAATCCATTTCCTTGGTATATGAATTAGATAGAATTTCTCCAGAGTCTGTTGCTGTAGCCCCATTTCTGCCATTTTCTTTCC